TGTCGGCCCAAGGGCCTTTCAAATGCAAGATTGAAGGATCACTGGGAAAAGAAGAAGCCCAAAAAAAGTAAACAAACCTCCACGATTCCTCCCACAAGCTTACACTATACATATCCAGATTCAGGTAGTCAAGCTTCTTTCATGTAATCAGTAAATTTTGCATTTAATTGATATCAGTAATATGAACTACGGATTGTATACGTGATTTTGGAGTTTTTTTTTGGCTGATACCGAGCAATACCGATCGTTATTGTGTTTATACCGACCTTATTTCGCCTGATAATAACCGAGTCATAGCAAACTATACCGAGATATACTGAGCTATACCGATCAATATCTATGAATACTGAGCGAGCTATACGGAGCCATACCTATCCATACAGAGCTATTATACAGAGCAATACTGAGTAATACCGAGCTGTACCGAGTTTTACCGATCAATACCGATATAGCCCATTGCTTTGTATTGCACCCTTTTTTAGTACTGGCCATCATTTTGTTTAAAAGAAAAAATCACAAGATTACTAAAGTTAAAAATTTCTATCATAAACTATCGAAATTTAGTACATAGCAAGTCATAAGCAAATTCAGCCTTATACGCTCGGTAAACTGCTCGTTACCGCTCGGTAAACCCTAACATAATTATGGAAGAAGAAGGAACTAACCTGAGGCATCGTAAATGCAGGCCTAGAAACTTCACTGAAAAGGAAGATGAAGCGCCGGTTGGAGAAGATGAAGGAACGGTAAAGTTTGTTTGAAAATAAAGCAGTTTTTTTCGGGTCCGCGCTATAATATTCGGGTTCGTTGGTCGGGCCGTCATTTTTAAATTTCGCACGTGCCATATACCCACTCTCCGCCGGGTCGGGTATCGGATAAAGTAGAATGCCAGGTGTCGCGTTAACAACGCATACCGAACGTAAAGATGAGTCAGGTGGGAGGAGGCAATAAAAATTCTTACCCTTACCATGGTATTGTTTCCGTACTGCGCCGCCAAAACACTTTCCCGTTTTCACCCTTAAAACTCAACTAATTAACGATAAAGTTATTTCTGTCCACCGATTCCTCGCAGGAGAGGCAATTCCCTGAAAACCCTCAATCCTCCATCCATCTCCGACTATACGCCGACGAATCCTTCGTGATTATTTAGCCTTGGATAAGAAGGTGGCAGATCCGGCGAAGTTGGCTTTTTGGTTGATTCTATTTCGACTACCTTTTTTCTTCATCGCTTGCTTCAAGGACCCAAGAACATCAACGCGAGAATGACCGAGGATGCCGGCACGAAGCCCTCGGAGGAATCCGTAGGGGCCGCAAGCGCCATGCGGCAAAGGTGCTTTTCACATTTGATTCCCCTAATCCTGAGACTTTTACTCGTGCCCTTTGTTCTTATTCTCCATGCTTCCGGGGAAAATAGCTGGAAGCCGTACCTGTTTTCTTCAATTTGGCTATCATGTTTGGAGTCGGGCGTGTGGGTATTTTGGCTTAGGGTTTTTGTTTTATTGATTTGGGATTATATTAACTTGGGCTTTTCAATCCGCGAGTTTGAGTTTAGTTCGGGTCGTGTTCACGATTCATGGGGCTTATATGGGCTTTGGAGAAAATTCTTTCTAGGTATGCTGGAGAAGAGCTGCTGTTAGCATATCTGTTCCTTGTTGTTTGTAATTATTGTTTTTCTAGCTCAAAATGTTGTATATTTAAGACAGAAAAGATATGCGATGTCATGGTTGTTATCTTATTTGAACTATTTATATGTATTAAGGAGATCTACATTGCAACCAAAATATTATCATTTGCATATTTACCCATAAAATTTGGTAAGTAGAGTAAGCATATTTCGTTGAACATGAGGAGATACGGGGTGAATTGCCGCAGTGCTGGAGGTGTTAGCTGGAGGAAAATTTGAATAGGGACCAAGAGGGAGTGGGATTTGGTGGAGGCTAGGTTGGATCTATGTGTGGTTTCGATGGACATGATTTGATCTCGATAAATTGGAGTAGGCAACCCGAGGTGGGCATCGGCAAGATTTGGATTGGATGGTAGCGAGAATATGAATCGAGAGAGATTGGTGAAGGCGAGGGAAACAGGATCTAGCTGGTGAAAGGGGACGAGACCTACAGACTTGCGGCGACTGAAAGACGAAGAAATGGGAAGTCACAATGGGAGATTCTCTTGATTAGTGATGTGTGAAGGTCGACGGGTGGCGATTGGAGACGTGTGATGGGCTGTGGAACTTGTAGTGAAGGGCAAATAGATGGTAGCACAATGAGATTTTAATTTGATGTGTTATTTTTTATTTAAAGAATTGTGATTGAGTCCATTTGAAGTAATTTTGTTGTATTTGAAGAATAAATGATGTTTCTATGGCATATATATATTTTTGGAGAAATAAGAAGAGCACAATTAAAATATTGCATACCAATGTCGAAGATTTTATGGCTTCCCGAAGATTTTGAATAAAGAAACTCCTCAGGCTATTGCAACAATTATTTTGGAATTGCCCTAACATACCTTTGATGGACAAAAGCTGCTCTTGAGTCTCCAATTAAATGCTCACTGAGCATGGTTGTATGCCTGAAGATGGGAGCTGGCTGTAGATTTATATCGTGCACAACCAGTTCTTTTTATTGCATCTTTATAGTTTTAGCACTTTGAGAGTAACAAAATAAGCATATTCTAGACAAAGTTGCATCTAAGAGTTTGGCTGTTACATATTCATTCCCTAAGTTGGGTTGTACTGCACCTCCACCAAATCTTGCATGTCTACCATCATCTGGCTATGTACCTGAATTTTTAGTTTTACATTAGATTTTGAAATTTTATTGAGTATTCCTTAAATTCAAACTTATTTCACCTTCCTCACTCACTATTGTTGTATGAAACTTCCACTGCTTTTCATATCACTTAACATGCAATTAAGGCTTTCACTCTTCTTGGTGCCTCATAGCAACAAGTAATGATATCGTTGCCTGGTGTTTCTTTTGGTTGTGGGGGCCAGGTTCATATTCTAAATCTATAGAGTTGCTAGATAGGACATTGATAAAATGCGAGCAAATTGTTAACATTGTAGATATAACTAGGTTACTAGGGAAATGATGTCATGGAGATGCTAATTTAGTTAGATGGATTGAAAGTGAAGACAATAAACTCTTAATTAGGAAATGAATGAATTTATAGTTGTTTGAGGTTAATAAACTGAAACCTTAAGAAGGATATTTATATAGACGATCAAAGTGGAGATACTTATGGCATTTTCGCACAAGTGTTTCACATGCTCCAAAACTCCTTTTTTGTGACATTCAGATTGGTTATAGTTGCATGCTTAAAAAGTACTGTATATAATTATATACCTTATATATCCTACTGGTACTTGTTGAAGGTTTTGGTATTCCACACTAATATAAACTGAGGCCAAATTCAAATTTTGTGACAGGAAAAAGAGAAGATGGGATGAACCAGCTGATTTTCTTATTTCTACAGGGATATCTATACCTGGTGCTATTCCTATTGGCTTCGGCAACTCCCTTGGTATTTCTACTCCAGGAGTTTTGCCAGTTTCTAATGCTATTGCAACAAACACATTAGTACCTTTGATCACTCATAGTGCTACCACACTTGTCCAGAAATTAAGCCAGGTATTTTTTTCCATAGTTTTTGTTTCAAAATTGTGGTGTCAATTCAATTTTTTGTATGGATGGCTAAGTTATTCTGCCTTATGTTCATTTATCATTAATTACTTGAATATATAGCATCAAATCCGTAAACTTTGTTTGTCTATTATGTAACTTTTTATGTCATATCACTGCACAATTGTGTTTTCATGGCCCAAATTTACTTTTTCCTCTCTTCGAAGACCCTTCTTAGCTTGCTCATTCTTATTGATCTAGTCCTTTTTGTCATTTGGTGTTATTATTATTTTTTTCAAATGAGTGTTGTTGAGTTATCACATGTGGATTATATAAGTCTAGTTGGTGCAATGGAAATTAAATTAATGTAAGATGAGAATGAAGAATGATATAGAAGCTAGTGGGCTCCATATAGTCATAACCAAGACTTAATATATTCTACATATATATGCAATTTCATTGGTTTTGAAAATGATAATGTTTGGCCACAGATGTCGTAGTTGATTAATATTGTGGTAGATTTTGGCTTAGATGCTTTATAAATAGGTTGCTACGTGGATGAGGATAATGCCTAGGACTAAAGCTGAATGACTAAAAGGAGATGGAACCATTGGAGCATGTGGAGTTAAAAATTTTATTGTACATAAAGGAAAAATTTACAAGTTATATAAGAGAGTGTTGGTCGATAAACTACTATAAATGAGAATATTAGGATGCATGTGTGATTAGCGGAAAGGAAAATTGACAAAGAATGCATCGGATGAACTTGGATTGAGGATGTGGTGGTAGACATTAGATTAAGATGACTAATGATTGATAGAAGAGGAAGCACCAAAAATGTTTTGTTCAAGAATGACCATGCAAGGGCTTGAAAGGAAGTATGGTTAGGTTTGTTTAGGCCAAAGCTAGTGTGGTTAAAATTTGTTCAAAAAAAAATCTAGATTTATTCCAAATGTAGCTTTAAACAAGGATGAATGTAAAAAAAGTTAATCTATAAAATTCAGGCCATAAATAGCTGACTCTTTTTTTGTGTGTGTGGATTACAATAGTTGGCTCTTTCTTGTAAACTTTCTTTTTGTTGTGACTCTTTTTTTTTCCTTTGATTTTTGATGCTTCTCGTCTTACTTGAAAACTCATTTTGTTTTATTTTTTTCTGTTTTCAGTCAAAGGTTCAAGATGAACTAATAGCACGAGAAATCGTAATAAATGATGCTGAACCAACTATTCGATACAAGCTTACAAAGCGTCAAACCCAGGAGGAGGTGATTTAAGAGACTTAGTTTGAATTGTTTTGTTATTACATATTTTAGTTGCTGAAGTTATATTCCCCAACCCTCTCCTTAAAACAATGTTTTGCTGAAATGAAAGTAATTGAACTTATTCCTTTCAGATTCAGAGAAGCACGGGCGCCATTGTTATCACTCGGTATGTTGCCTTTTAAACGTTTAAACACTTTAAAAATAGCCAATTAATTTTATACTCACAAACTGGTTTATCTTTTTATTATTAGAGGAAAGTACCGCCCTCCGAATGCATTGCCGGATAATGAAAAGCCTCTTTATCTTCATATTTCTGCTGGTTCGCATGTAAGTCTTCATTTACTTGTTTATTTTTCTTTAGACTGCATCTTATTGCTTGGTAGTCTTGGTTACGCTCACAATGGCATATGGCCTCCATGATAGCTTATTAGTCCTCATTCTTTCGCAGTCTGATTTTGAGAAATTATAGAGACCGACTAAGATTGCCCAGAAATTTAAAATCGTTTTGTGTTGATGGCAGCTTTCTTTTTAATAGCTTATGAGTTATATAGATAACCCATTGCCTTTTTATTGGGCTGGGAAGAAAATTGTTTTAATTTTTGTGCAAGCACATTGTAGGACTAAGAAATCAGGAACTTTTGGGAGCGTGAACTTTTGCTCATTTATTTTGTCTTTATAGATAGGAATTTCTTAATGGAAGTAGATTGAATTCATCATTTGGGTGTCATTTTGAGTAAATGTTTTTTGTTATTCTTCTTTGTATTAACTGTGGATCTGTTTAGTTTATCTTCCGTCCTATTTTTGATCTTGCTGAATTGTTTTTTTTTCTTATGTTTTGTCCATAGTTCCTTTATTTCCTTTCACCATAATGGTATAGGCTGAAAAATGAGTGTGGTGTGGGAATGCTGTAATCAGGATGCCTGTCATGTGAGTGTGTTCATTTTTCAACTTCATTCCTTTGTGCCAAGCAAGTAAATATTTATCTTGTAGTAGTATCTCCTTTATATGGCATTGTGCGCTCAAACATGTAGTTCCCATGTTTCCTGTCCTCTTATTTTCCTTTTGATCTTCCTTCCCTTTCAATGCTTTCAATGAGTGGACTACTGGAAGAAACTTAGTTTAAAAGATAAGACAAATCAAGTAGTTACATGCTAAGGAAATGGTTTGGCTGAAAAGGGAAAAAGCCACTTGATGTGCATTTGTTTTGAAGCATGTAGAGGAAAATCAAAGAGAAGGAAAGTGAACATGCACCATTTTTTTAGGAACAATTATTTCCAATGTTTGAAATATTTTTCTGATTTTATTAATATATCAAATGTTGAGATGAGATAGATTTGTAAATTAGAATAGAAAATAATTGTTTTCGTAAAAGGATATTTGTTAGAAGGGTGAGCGGAGGGGTTATGTTAGGGAATAAATATGCATACAAACTATGAGGCTATGACTATAGTAATTTTACTATTTAGACGGGAGGAAGGAGTTGATGCTTATAGAGGTGCCAAATTGTTATCACTAGGCATGATTCACTTCAACCTATCAATTGTTCAGGCCTTGTGTTTCTTGATTCACATATTGAATTTATTATAAGTTTGGAGTAGCGTCAGTTGAATATAAGATTAGAGAGAGTTGCCTTAGATGGTTTGGTCACATAAAACAACCTTCTGATGATCCAGTCAGGAAAGTAGAGGCATTAGATTTGATTTATGTTAAGAAAGGTAGAGGTAGGCCTAAAAAGTCTTGGTTAGAAAATATTAGAAATTATCTTTCTTTATTAGATTTAAATGAGAATTTTACTTTTAACAGGATATAATGGAGAAAAATGATTCATGTAGCTGACCCCACGTAGTGGGACAAAGCCTTGATGTTGTTGTTGTTGTTAGATCTATTCTCAAATATGATTATGGACTCAATTCAACATCAACGGTAGTTTTAACACAATTATTTTTAAATAATGAATTTGAACCAAGGAGTTGTCGTAATTAAATTAAAACCTAAATGGTTGGTATGTATTTATTCTATATTAGATTGAAAAATCAATCAAGATTTAATTTAAAGTAATCAATTAGTTCAAAATATTTTTGATGCGACTCCTGATCCCTTATCTTACTCACAATAGCTTTTTCTGCTTTTGTCCTTTTCTTTTTCAATGATAACTCTTTTTATTATGCACCCCTCCGTTTTAGCCCCTACTATTCTCACCTTCCTCCATCATTCTTCAATCCTTCTGTTCTTCCTCTAAACAACTGTAGACATCTCAATAGTTGTAATCATCATTCCTTATCATCTTTAGAGGTATAGCTCTAGTTGCTTAAGCAAAGTTTGTGAACATTTTCAACATCATTTTCATTACATTTGGCATTATTTATCTTGCTGATAGTAATCTTTGTCTTTCATATCCTTCAAGGATCTAGCTTTTCCTTCATATATATATATATATATGGATCCTAAATATAAGTTGTTTTTGTTCATCAATTATGACCACCCCTTCTACATTTAACCCAAAATCCTAAATCCTTTATTTCACTCACAGTAGTCCATTCTACTTATATATATTCTCAATGATTACTCCCTCTTCAGTGCATCCCTCTATTTTTGCCCCCACTGTTCTCACCTTCCTCCATTATTTTTAAGTTACTTAGTTCTTCCTCCAAGTAGTTGTAGTCATAATAATAGTTGTTGTTGTCATCCTCCAGGTTAGCAAGCTTGTTAACGAATCGAGCCCGAGCCGGCTCGCGAGTTGCACCCCTAGTTCCATTCATCATTTAAGTCCACCACATCCTATATTGATCTCCTCTCCTTTATATGGGCCCCTGATCTCATCTTTCGCATCCTCCACCATCGTTAATATACTCCTTATATAATTGTTATAATTGACTTCCTTATCGTTGCATGATCTTTATCAATGTCTACTTTTAAGTCCTTACTCGATATTTCACACCATGGTGGCTACTATTGGCCCCCTTTATACTCATCACAACCTTACTCAATAATTGAATCAAATTAAGTCTAATGAATTGATAATAGTAGATGTAACTTGGTGATGTTTGAGAATATAATTGGAATGTTTTGAATTAAATAAAATAGGGAGGAAAATCTTGTTTTGATTCGTGTTTGTATATATTCAATCAAATTTGGTGTAGTGTTGCCCTCTCATATGATGGTGATGGTAAATATAAAACATACAAGTCCATATTGATGCCACATTGTCCATGTTATTTCCAACCTTATCTGATCCCTCTTCATTGCCTTTATTAAACCTTTAGTATGTCCTTAGTTGTTGAAAAAGGTTTTGTCTATCAGTTCTTTGACTGTAAATGCAAATGGAGGCCTACGTGCTACCATAGGGCGGTGAACAATGAAGTCTCCACATGGTCTAGGATAGCCACTATCCTCTTAAACTCAATGAAATAAAAACGAAGTCCATGGGTTGTTAGCTCTTATCAACCCAACTTGCATTTAGGACAAAAGATGGATGATGCCACATGGAACTGTGCTTGTCAGGCTTAGTTTTCTAAGATGATCATAATAGTCTAAGTGCACTACTCGCGTTGCACTTAGGTGTGTTGAGTTAAAAATATAATTTCGTTTGATTTGTCTCCTAACAAGCCACGTTAGCTTGATAGACCCACCCCATTTCTAATATGAGTTAATTATAAAAGTTCCGTTGAAGCTTTTCTAAAATTGTAAATTGCATATATTGCTTTACAAGGATATCTATGGTAATCCTAAAAATGCAGAAGGATCCTGAAGACCTTTCAAATTTCAAATGAGACCATTTGATTATTTAGTTATGACATAAATAACCCTGTGGGCATTTTGGAAATTCTAGAAATATCAGGTGTTTTATAATTTCAAAGAAAATTCCTAATTGATAAGTTGCATAAATAGTCCCTACTACCACTAGCTTTCAGGAAAAATTGCAGAGCTGCTTTGGAAATTTCAAAAATTCCATTGACTGGAAACAAATTGTAAAATTGATAGTCAGCTTTTTGATGACCCAGTTATAATAGTAGATGTGTTATTAGATCTTACCTATGTTTAGAAAGATAGCTAAATCTGAAATACTTGGTTAGAAAGTATTAGAAATGATCTTTTTTTTTAAATAGATTTAAATGAGAATTTGACTCTTAATAGGACACAATAGAGAAAAAAAGATTCGTGTAACCGACCTCACGTAGTAGGATAAAGGCTTGTGTTAGACCGGCCCAGGATGGGCCTGCTAAAGTGATTAGGGAATACTTGAAATCAAGTATTTCCTATCAGCTTGTTGTTGTTAATTTGTTATATTTAAATTATTAAAATGACAAAAGAAATTGAAGAATTCCTGGATTAGATCTTTTGTCATGTGGACTACAAAGTTTACCAGGTTTACAACTTTTTGTTTTAATATCTTCAATTGTTATCCTGATCCATCAAGCCATACTGCTGAGAATTACGTGAAAGTGTACTCTACATGAAATACGTGACTGTGCATAAAAAAACTCACAACATGCTTCGAAAAAGCATGCTAGGTACTGAATCATGTGGTTGAAATCGATTGCGAGGCTGTAATAATCACCAGTGCATCAGCAAGCCTGTTATTGAATCATTAAACATGCTGATGCACCAAAAAGTGTAGCTAGTGCACTTATTGCTTTCTAAAGTACTGCAAAATGCGCAGGTATACTAAAAATGCTCCAATGCATTGATAATTGTGTTGGCACAATGAAAACGGTGCCAGTGCTCACATTCCTGTTCTTTTTTTTTGTCTACCTCATACTAGCTTATCCATTGTTAATGGCTTTTGCTTTGTTTCATCTAAACGCCATGCTTTATGTCTTGTTAGGTTTGCACTCCATGTTATTTAATTTGTTTCATGACTGATAACATTAATTTGGAATTGGTTACCACGGATTTTATCTGGAAAAAAGTGCTTGGCTGAGTATATTTACTTTAATGGAGACTTCTGCCTAGTTCATTAAAAATGACTGCAGAATCTCTGTTGTTTCACTCGATGCATTTTTTTTCTTAACATTTTTGAATCATATGCTGGTAAGTTTTAACCTGAACTGCGATTCTTGTGGTTTCTCAGTAAAAGCATGAATTTTTTTTAATATGATGTTTCATTTAGAATCTTGCAAAATCGAATATAGGTTTCATTTTTATTTTGGTGTATGGAGTAAAAGAATTTCGAATGAATGCCCATATCAAACTGTACTTTGCTTTATACTGATAAAGTTATCTGTTTGTGGGTCATGTATTTATTTGACTCTAGTTAAAAGACATGGCAGAACGAATTATTGCTGTTGACCGTGCAGCTTCCATGGTTGAGGAAATACTGCGTCAAGGACACAACTTACTATCAAATTCCTGTTCGCACAGTGCTGGGCAGGTATATTTCACATTGATCAGAACATATTTTGATGGATGAGTAAATTTAAGTGATCTTCTTGTTTTTTGGCACAGGTGAATCAACCTATGAGCATTTGTTTGTTTCTGGGCTTTGAACCTGATCCATCTCAAAACATTGCAGCTCGCATTAGAGGACCTAACGTATGTTTTCACTAGAATTTACTTATTTTTTTCTTTTTGTTTAGCCCTTCTCTTTTTTTTTTTTTTTTTGATTTTTTTTGAAAGCATTTGAATTAAAATTAAAGATTTCCCTTTAACAAGATTCTTAGAGTGGCATTCATCTATTTTCTCTCCTTAAATCTAAATGTTTCTTTTGAATAAAATTACAGTTCTTTATATTTTTTATAAATTTCATTCTTTGAAGCATGCTGTTTTTATTAATGTGAGAATTTTCTAATCTATAAGCTTTCTCTGTCATCTCCATACAATTGGGGGGAGATTCTTTTTGTGCTGCTTCGGATTTGTATGCGCAGGATCAGTATATAAATCACATTATCAATGAAACAGGAGCGACTGTTGTACTAAGAGGGCTTGGTTCTGGCAGTAATGACATTTCTCATGCTGAAGGTATGGTTTCTCATTTCTTGCAGCAAGTAGCTGCTATGCTCCTCTCTCACTCGTTAATTTCTTATGTTTGCAGATGCTCAACAACCACTGCACCTGTATTTGTCAAGTACAAATTCCAAGAGTCTTGAAGCTGCAAGGAGTTTAGCTGAAAACCTTTTGGATACAATTTCTGCTGAATGTGCTGTTTCCAGGTTTGTAGGCATTTCTCTAATTTTCCCAGGTTACATTTAAGAATGAGGTGGCTCTCTCAGGATGATGATAGGAAACACTTGTAGATCTCAAGTATTTTCTATCAATCTTCGGAAAACAACGAGAATTCTTCACAAAAATCCGCACAAAATCACAAAAACAGTAGATAATTTGTATTATTTAATGGAAGAAGGATCACGGAAAATAGCAGGATACACTTGATCCTCAATTCGAGAGAAGGATCGATCTCTCCCAAATCTCTAGACGCCGCTAGAGCCCAAAGAAAACCTAAATCTAGGAGATCTCAAATTTCAGCCAAATTCAAGATGCCCTAACCCTAAAAAAACAAAGTATTTAATGCATAAAAATTAAAAGGAAATCCCTAAACATTCCCTACATTCAAATTTCTCTCTTAATCCCCTCAAAAATCCTTCCTAAAATGCTCTGCTTGGGCGGTCGGGTCACCCGATCTCCGCAGGAGGCGAAGATCCCTGCGTTAATTGCGAAATGCCGGTCCCGTGCAGACTGGCTGGACCGGTCCAGTGGATCAGTCCAACAATTCTCCCCTCCCAAAGATTCACCTTGTCCTCAAGGTGGAAATATGCTCGTGTTCCCGTGGAGGTGGCCATTTTTGAGGTGATTGAAAAACCTTATTGTATTGCTGAATCAAGGGCTACACGGAAAGAGAAACATCCCCTTCCTCCAATCTGATCGCATCCGACCTGTGTAGTCCCACCATATAATCTTTCCCCACCTCTTGAAAGCTCCTGACCATGGTCTTAAGTGATATCATGGCTTTGGATAGCCCTGCATCTCCCTTTATAATCACCTTTCTCCCATCCATCATTAATTCTATCGTGAGTGCTCCCCAATTGTCCTTGGTTTCCCCTAAGGTTTGCAACCACTTCTTTCCCAAGATGACATCAGTACTTCCTAATTCTAGTGGAAGAAAGTCCTCCCTTACCTGAATCCCCTGGATGGTCAACATCACTCCTCTACAGATCCCCTGGCCTTTCTCCACTTTCCCTGTACCCATCATCACTCCATAACAACCGGTGTCCACCAATTTTACTCCCAGTTGGTCGTCGACTTGAGTGGAAATGAAATTGTGGGTAGCCCCACTATCAATTAGCACCACCACCTCTCTGCCCTCTATCTTGCCCTTCACCTTCATGGTATGATTCGTAGTGAATTCTACCATTGAGTTCAGGGAAATCTCAGCCAGATCCATGTGTAGCTTCTCCTCCATCTCCTCCTCGGTCTCCTCCTCATCTCCCTCCTCAGTTACCTCGTCATCGCAGATGGTGAGAACCTGAAGAGTTCGGTCCTTGCCTCGATGCCCTGGCGTATACTTCTCCTCGCACCTGAAACACAACTCCTTGGCCCTCTTCTCCTGTATCTCCTTCTCTGTCAGCCTCCTGAAATTTTTCCCACTCCCTCCTACTGGCTTCTACCTGGCGGTCTCATTAATGTTGTCTGAGGTAGGCCCCTTAGGTGCTAGAAGAGTGGTCGTAGTCTTGTAAGAGCCTCATGAGCTGCTGCTTTTGGCTACCTTCTCCAGATTCTTCTGATTTTCCACCACATGTGCCAATTTCATGGCCTCCCCCCAAGTCACTAGGCATCAGAACTTTCACTGTCGTTCAAATCTCTACCTTCAACCCTTTCATGAAATTCCCCTCCAACACTGTATCTGAGAGTCGCTCCACCCTCCTAGCTAGGTGCTCAAATTGCTCCCGGTAATCTGCTACTGATCCCTCCTGTGTTAAAGCAAAGAACTGCTCATAGAAGTCTCCTCCCCGATCGGTTTGGAAACGCTCTATTTTGCAGTTTTTAAATTCCTTCTAGTTCCTGATTGGCCTCCGTTGGTCTCTTCACTGAACCACGATAGGGCTTTCCCTTCCAAGCACAATCCCGCTGTTGTCAGATTCTCCTCCTCTGTCAACCCATTGACGGCAAAGTACCGCTCTACATTGTAAATCCATCCATACGCATCTTCTCCTTCGAAGATGGGTATCTTTAACTTCCTCACATTCTGGTCACCACCATTTCCCCTGATTCTTCCATAACTTCCCCTTTCCCAAGTGCTCGGTCCAACCCATATGTCCCGCTCTTCCCTTGCTCTTCCATAGCCCAAACTCCCTTTGAAATCCCCCCATCCTCTCTTCAAAATCAGCTCCACGGCGGCCATAGTATCCCTCCCGGCGCTCCCCATAACCTCCTCTTTCTTCCCTTTGGACAGGCTCCAGATGTGGTCTTCTTCCTTTCCCTTCCCCGATTTCTACCTCATCTTTCTCCCTACGAATTTCAGAATTTGTATTTTTTCTTTCCTCTTTTACCACGGAAGCCGTCGTTTGGTTGTGGATTTCCAACATTTTCTTCATCATGTCCCGAAGATCGGCTATTTGTCCTTCCATGGAGTAAATCCTTTCCTCCACCGTTGTTTTAATTTGGTTCATCTCCCCTTCAAGCCTTTCTTCTAGCGCATCAACTTTCTTGGCCGCCATCTCGATCCGAACTTTTGTAAATCCAAGAATTTCGGATTTGGATTACAAAAACAGCACTTCTTTCCTTCCCGACCAAAAATCAGCCGCCGCACTTCGCCAAAATCAGCCCACGAACGGTCCCAAGACTTGCTCTGATATCAATTTGATAGGAAACACTTGTAGATCTCAAATATTTTCTATCAATCTTCAGAAAACAACGAGAATTCTTTACAAAAATCCGCACAAAATCACAAAAACAGTAGATAATTTGTATTGTTTGATGAAAGGAACATGGAAAATAGCAAGATAGCCTTGATCCTCAATTCGAGAGGAGGATCAATCTCTCCCAAATCTCTAGATGCCGCTAGAGCCCAAAGAAAACCTAAATCTAGGAGATCTCAAATTTCAACCAAATTCAAGATGCCCTAACCCTAGGAGAACAAAGTATTTAATGCATACAAATCAAAAGGAAATCCCTAAACAGTCACTACATTCAAATTTCTCTCATAATCCCCCCAAAAATCCTTCCTAAAACGCTCTGCTTGGGCGGTTGGGCCGCCCGATCTCCGTAGGAGGCGGAGATCCCCACGTCAATTGCGAAATGCCGGTCCCGTGCGGACTGGTCTAACAGATGAGCTCTTTCATCTTTTGTTTTGGCTCTTTTATACGATGCTAAGAATGTAGCTTTTAGTGATTTATATAATAGATTAGATATCAAGGAGGGTAAAAGATATGTTTAAATTAGCCAAATAAAGAGATATGAAATGATTTACTTCAATTAATGTACATTAATGATGAAAATAAAAAATTATTTTCTTATAAAAAGATATTCAATGTAGGTGGATGAGATATTTTGATAAAATTTTCAATAAAATTTGTGAGAATATAATTGACTTTAGTGATCTTAGCATTATATGAAAATATAAATTTTAATTTTTATCCTCGCATTAGTAAAACTGAAGTTGGAGAGACTTTAAAGAAAACAAAGTGTGGAAGAGCAGTAGGACCTGATGATATTCTAACAAAATGCTTAGGAGATCTAGGTATTTCTTGTCTTATCAAACTTTTTAATATTATTTTGAAGACTAAAAAGATGACATAGGAGTGGAGGAGTGATACCGGAGATATCAGTAAAAATCTGGAAGAGAAAAGTAATTTAGAATTTATTAATTGCAAGTCTACTAGATAACCAAGGCGTGTACAAAGAACAAAAGAATAAAATTAGAAATCTTGAACTAGTCAACATAGTTGCCGTGAGGCTGAATTTGTGGTCGAGATGAATTCTCGTTGTTGAATTCTGGGCCAAGAACCAGGAATTCTGCTGTTCTTGGTGGCTGGCATGGATGGATAGCAATTTCTTGATTGCCGGTATGAAATACAGGCTCTTCTTAGGAAGGAATTTTGCACTGTTTACTGGTTGGAAGAAGGCCAATTTTCTGGAAAGAAACCTCCCAGCAGCAAGAGAGCAGGTCGGCGGAGAGGAGGAAGAAGACGTGCGGGCAGTTGCTGGATGGAAGAGAGAATTCCAGAGACAGGGCTGCAGCCCTGCAGAGAGGAGGAAGAAGAAATGCTGGCGGTTGGCTAGCTGGAAGCTGGGAGAGGATGGAAGGAGAGGGGAACCTGGCGACTGGCAGGAAGGGCTGATGGGCTGAGGAAGAGGAAGGGTGGTTGGCTACCACCTGGAGATTTTTTGGATACAGAGAACATGAGCCATGTCTCTTTCCTAAACACTAAAATCTAAAATTCAGGATTAAGGACCCTCTAGTTATAAGCTTTCAACTAGTAAATAAGGGAATAGAATAAAATAAAGATAATGCTAATTAAAGAAAGAAAGGACAACATATTTAAATAATAAAAATAGAAATTTTAAAAGGTGGGGTTTGACTTATTAAACCAGATTGAACCTCTGCATCAAAGAGTGTTTTGTTCTTACTTTTTAGAATAAAGATGACACACAAAAGTGTGCGAATTATAGAAGAATTAAGTTAATATGTTATACATAAAAATTATAGGAGAGAATAATTGATTATTTGTTACAACGTGATAGTAACATTTTTCAAAGTTAGTTTGGATTTATGTGGCATAGGTTTACTGTGGAAGCTATATATTTGTTGAGTGGTTTGATGGAAAAGTATAGAGTGTAAGGATGATCTACATTTGATATTCATTGATCTAGGGAAAACATATGATAAAGTTCCAAGAGATGTGTTTTGGAGAGTTTTAGAAAAGAAAGGAGTTAATAATGCTTATATTCAAGTGATTAAGGTTATGTATATGGGAGCTATTATTTGTGTTAAAAAACACAAGATAGTTTGATGTGTTTTTTTCCTATTTTAGTTGGATTACATCAATGATTAGTTTTAAGCCCCATATCTTTTTGTTTTAGTCATGAGTTTTCTTACTTGGTTTATGTTTTTTGCTGATGATATTCTTCTTGTTGAGGGAGTTGAAGAAAAACTTGAATTATGGAGGTCAACTGATGGGGACATCAGATCATCATGGAGAGTTTACCAGTGACGTGGCCGCCGATCTACGACCACGATCGAGTCGTTATATTTTTGAGTCGATGTATTTTGTTTTCATGCATTTTATTATTTGCTTATGAGTGTTTATTTTTTTATTTCCCTTTGTACCCCTTTGTATGAGAATGGTCATGTGTAAGCCTAAGGGCAATTGTGTCATGTCAGTTAGAGTCTTTTGTATGAGGCTATTTAAAGCCCTTTTGTTTTATTTTCAAGTCAATGAATGATCATGAAATAATTTCCTGCATTGTCTTCTTGGAGCTTACGAGAGAGCTTGAGAGTGAGAGAGTAAGAGATCTTGGTGGAGCCTAGGATAGGCCACCCGTCGTGCCCAACAGCTGCCACTGGTGGCTCTTGGTTCCCTTCCCCCTTTTCTTCCCTCTCCGTACCTCCACCGCCGGTCAACCATTCTCCTCACCAAGCCCATCATCCCCACTCAATACCCACGGCCAACCCATTACTCGAGCTCCTAAACCACCGGCACCAATTCCCTAGCCGTTGACTAGCCCCGCCCATCTCCGGCCCCATTGCCTTTCTCCCCTTGAGTTTCTTAATTGACTGAAAATTACTTTGGGATGATTTTGAATTTCAAATTCCTTTTGATTTGAATTCAAAATCTTTCCTAAAATAATTCGTCTATTTTAGGAAAATATTTGTTTTGGGTTTAATTTGCAATTCAAATACAAGTGGATTTCAAATAAACCTTTCTTAAATCAAATCCTAATTAAGAAACCTTAATTACCTGCACTAAAATCCTCCTCTGCCATGCATGCCGCTGGCTCCATCAATACCCCCTTTGGAATTATTTCCAAAGCCAAGTGACTCCTTTGGAAATAACATAAATCCTCATTATTCCCTCTTTGCCGAAATTTCAAACACCCAGGAATCTCTTTATTTCTTTTTGAAAACAATTCTCACGATTTTTGGAGAGAAATTCCCTATCTCCTCTACATTGCCGGCCCAGCTTCTCCATACCCGATTCCCTTCCCCTCACATATCTGCTCTCCACCATTAACCACTCGTGATTCACTTCCATACTCTTGCTCCCTCTAATCCCTTCCTCCCAAACATTGAAAGCTAAATTTCTTATCAAATTTTTGAGAGAAATTTTGAGAGGAAATTCAGGAATATTTCAGATTTCTTGTGGAAGAACCTGAACACAATTTCAGGTTTTGGAATCAACACTAGGAAGTAGACCCCCGACCCATATTGAAGAGACGTATCATATTTTGCTTCGACGGAAGCCATGGACGAAGACGTTGGAGACATCAAGTGGAAGATCTCCGCGTCTCATTAAGCAAAGGTTCTCCTTTTCACTTGCATTTTATTTCTTCTAAATCTAAATTCTCACTGGATTGTTGTAATCGCGAAAGTCTCCTCCAAGTGCTCTTGCTAAGCTTAGTCATTCGTAGGAATTGAGAGTATCTTCCATGCATCCTACATCTCATTGTTAGACTAGGGATTAAATTGAAGGCTACTATTTTGCATTGTTTTACTTGTCTTATTTATTCTGAAAATTTCATCGTTGGAGCATGTGATTTAGCCTACGTAAGTCACCTCTTTATTTGTTTTAATTGACGTTGAGAATTGCTAATAATTTTAATCCAAGATTATTCTAATCAAGGAATTGTGCAATGCTTAAAATGAAGCCATAAGCATGTCATCTAATTAGTCCTGCATCATCAACATTAGAGTCTAAAGGTTTTTGTTTGAGTAGAGTTAAATTGAATGCATGGAGTGTAATTTTAGTAGTGATAAATTTAGTGGTGAGATTGTGACATTGAGTAATTAATTCATTAAAAAGAGTGCACATTTTAGATATCTTGGGTCTATTGTTCAGAGTAATGGTGAAATAGATGAAGATATTATTAGTAGAATTCAAGTTGAATGATTGGAATGGAGGAATGCATCGAGCCTATTGTGTGATAGAAAAATACCCATCAAACTTAAGTACAACTTTTCTAAGATGATGGTAAGACCTGCACTACTTTATGGTGTAGAATGTTGATCATTAAAAGAGAATAATAAAATTAAGATAAGTGTTGCAGAGATGAGGATGCTCAGGTGGATGAGTGACTTTACAATTAGAGGCAAAATGTGAAATGAGTATATATGTGAAAAGGTTGGAGTAGTTCCAATGGAAGATAAGATTAGATAGAGTCTCTTTAGATGGTTCGGTCACATAAAATGTCGGTCATTTGATGACCCTATTAGGGGACTAGATGTATTAGGGCCGGCTTATGCCAAAAAAGGTAGAGCTAGATCTAAAAAGACTTGGTTTGAAATTATTAAAAATGATATATATTTTTATTAGATCTAAATGAGAATTTGACTCTTAATAGAACACAATGAAGAAAAGAGATTCATTTAGCATACCCCACATAGTGGGATAAATGCTTTTTGTTGTTGTATCTATTATTGTTGACTACGGTTGCAAAATTTTAGTAGAATCTCAAAATTTTCTACCTGTCTGGTTCTGGAATCATTAGTAGAATCGTAAAATTTTCTTCCTGTCTGGTTCTGGAACCATGAGTAGATTGCTTGCCTTGAAATATTAAGCCTTACAAGTTTTGATTTTCAGCTTGTCTTAGCCAACATGATGTATGCTTCTAGATGATATTTTTTCATCTTGGATAAGAATCTGTCGTTTCATTCTTCATTGCATTTTAATATTCGGATCAAAAAACTTTCCTCTATCCATCCATGTGCTATTTTTTTATTTTATTCCAGAGCTCACATGCACACGTAATGGTGCAGTTGGTTGCTTTTGTAATTTGGTTGGTTTCAGTTTCCTCTATTTTTACAGCATGCGATCAGACTATCTTGTGTTATTGATTTATTTGTGCTGAAATTACTTTATTTTATTTTAGCTTTTAGTCCCATTATTTTTATCTTCCAATACTGCAACTATGGAATTTCTATTATCTCCGCGACATCCCTTGTTTCAATAAATGCTTGCATGTAATTTTCAAGCAGATTAGAATATTTGATAATTTGGTCAAGTTCTTTGTGGCATAGGGTTCCATCAAGCAAAGTATACCGTGCAGTTCCTCCTCCACACCAGTTGCTGGCAGGAGTAGTGAGCTCTGCAAATGCGGATCCAGTTGTCAGTTCATCATGCGCTGTTGCTGGCGTCACACAAGCAGGACAATCTCTTGCATCTAGCACATCGGCAGTTTCCTCTCTGTCTACTGTGCTTCCTTCAGGTGTCTTAATACCGAATGGAAACCTGGCTAGCTGTGGTACCTCCATACCAAACACAGGAAACTATGTTTATCCAACAGTAACTGGAGGAACATGTTACAGTGGATATGGTGGGATATATCCCCAGGCCACACCATTGCAGCAAGTTGCTCTAGCGCTCAAACAGGCCCCTCTTTCATCCACTTCTGTTGTTTCTTCAGCAGCTTCAAATGCAAATGCATTGCCAAAGATGACCTCAAGTTCAAATGCTGATAGAGAAAAACGGCCATCTCAGAAGCGGAAATTCCAGGAGCTACCGGTCACTTCGAAAGGGCTGTCTACTCTTAATCAGGTAGATTCTATACCTTTACACTTGGATTTTGTGATTTTTTATGACTGTTTGACTGCTAGATAGTGTCTGTAATGAAGGATGAGGCTTCTCTCGCATTAAAATGAAAATTTTAATAAACTTCCCCTGTTGGTAGGGGATTCCTGTATCATGTTTTTTCATATTGTGCCATCAATGGAACTATTATTTATGCTCATGGTTATGCAGTGGGGATTCTACAGTTAGTTCTCATGGCATGCGTACTTTATGTAATTATTGTCCACAATTCTATAAATGGTTCTCTATTTTGGAAGAAGAGAAGACAGTATTTTCATACAATTTTCTCTCGGCCTGAAGGAAGTCAACATAACCTAGCGTCATTTATGAAATGTACTGTCATCATTATCTTGGGGTTAGAGAATTTTGAATTATTATTTTACCCATTTTTTCAACTCTTTGCTGTTTTTTGTTATTCAATTATAAAAAATTGCGAAGGATGTGATCTTAAACTTTTATGACCGTTTGAAAATTTTCATTACATATTCTACCCGTGACTGATATAAAAACTGCTTTCCTGAACTGCTGATGTTGAAAAAGTTTAGATTTCTTCTGTTCTTAAGCACCTGGGCTCTGATACCAACTGGAGAAAAAAATTCACTATTGACGCCACATTGTTGGAGATTTGTTAATGGGTTCTTGTTGATGATCTCTTTCTTGACTCTGTTCTTCTTTCTTCTCTTGAAATTTCTTCAATTACGTCCTCTAGAAACAAAAAATTGATTTCTTGCATGAATTATGTGTAGCAATCGGGGGAATTACTCCTGGAGGATTTCTATAAAGATGCTTCTTGGGAATTTTGTTGGACCAGGATAGAGAAAACCTATGATTGGAGTTCGGAAATCGTGTAATCTCATGAGGAGAGAAAAGGCAAAGAAGAGAAGAATAAGGGAGAATCCTGATTCAAATTTCATTTATGATAGTATGATCCAATTACAGGCATTCAAATCCCTATTTTAAGAAATAAGGTTTCTTTTAAAATTAAACTAACTTAAACTTAATATCTAGTTAAGTATTAAAATCTTATGGAGTTTAAAAAGCTGATAATTCTAAATTTAAATACATAGAAACCAAAATAAAAATCCTAGAAATATTCTAAACAATGCTAGAATAATTTTGAAAACGTTAGAATAATATGATGGATGTCTTGGATTGCGTCAATTATTGGCTAAGATTTTCATTTCGACAGTGTTTCTTTTGTTTAACATTCTACTTTCTGATTGTATTACTTTATCAGATGCTGATTTCTAGTTGTTTATCAGCAGAGTGGGTAATTTTGCTATTCCTTTGAAAGGCTGGTGATGCTTGACGATACCAATAACCACCTTCAAGTGTTTTACCTGTTTTTCTTTTGTAAACAATAAACCGGAGTGTTATAGGATCACCGTTGGATGCTTGCTCTGCTTTGGATACCTTTCCATTCTCAGCTTTATATAAACCTAGACTAACTGTTCTCAGAGAAATCAATACTTATATACTAGTTTAATTCTTCATTTCTTCTCTTTGCTGTTGGTTAACCTGCTATGCCTTTCTTCTTTATGAAAAGTATGCACTATAATGTATAAGTTTTTCATCACTCCCACCGGTTTTCGCCAAAAAAAAAAAATTCCTGCTGGCGCCAAGCAGTATATATATATATTCACTGTAGGTAATTCTTTATTTTAATTATAGTTGAATAACATTTTCTTAGGAATGCTTTTAGATATATACAAACTAGGCTATTTCTAATGGGTAAAATGATATAGTTTTTATTTAAAGTCTAAGCTACTATTTTTTTTTTGTTCATATAATTTATTTTTTTTTCTTAATTTTAAAACTCAAAATTACTTTTTGATAAGAATCTTAAAAGAATGAATACAATAAATTTTAGCTGTAAAAGTTATCCAGAAAAGTATTTCTAATTTTTTATTTAAGTTTTTTTTAATTGCTATTTATTTTTGTGATGTATTATTATATTGTTAAAATGTATTTATTCTTTTATTTAATCATACTAGATGACTATATGATTTATTTTTTTATATTAACAACTGGAATAAATTTTTTTTTTTAAACCGTCAATATCAATCCCAAGCCCAAATGAAAAATATTGAAGGTATTTTAAAATTTTTAAAAATTTATAGTTTGTGCCCCTACATATAAATTTTTTGGATCTGCCACTGCACTGGCACTTACAAGTTGATATCAAATGTTCATTATTGTTATTTTACACTACATAACATTTGTATATAACTCATTGCCCTGGTTATTTTTCAATCACTTGGAAAACAAACTTAAATCAAATATTTGATTGCTGCTTTCACTTCTTTACTGTGATTTTTTTTTGTTTGACTTCTTCTTTTGGAGATTCTTAAAATGAATTCCATGTCAGGTACTATCCTTGAATAGGAGATTTTACTATTAGTCCTATTTTTTTTAGGATTTCTAGAAATTAAACAAGTTTATATCTTAAAGTTTGTTGTTGATTTTCTATTTTATGTTTAACTTTTACTTCTCCGTATATCGGCTATAGTTGTGCTGATTTTTCAACTATTATTCCAGGTATTTTCTCTGACTCTCTGAAGCTGACAGACTGTGTTGAACCTATCTCTTGGACCCTTGTTTTTATGTTTCACAGGAATTTCAAGTCTAGAGTCCCCAAATGATGGCGTGCTTGTTCATTATTGCATTCATCCAGGACATCCTTAGGCATACCTGAAATGTTCTGCGTATATTCTGCATAAAAAGTCATTTTAAATTTACCAAGCTTGTGTTTTGAGACTACTTCTGTTTTCCCTGTTATCTAATTTTTTATCGATCTTCATGGATGTAAATTGGTTTTTGCTAACCATCTGATATGAAAGCAATAGACTCCCAATAATACTCATACAACGCCTAATTTTTCTCTTGAATCCTCTCCTTCATTTCTATATTGTCTTTATATTTTTATCTCTTAGCATCTGAGATAAATCACCCATGGCTCTTGAATTCTCTCTATTCCTTCATATTCCTATGTTCTTGTAGCCCATGGCGCCTCTGCCAACATCATCAAATACAATAGGAGTATCTCAAGTGATGATTAATTGTAGTAGATGATTACCATTTGATCATCTTTTGCTGCAGGGGCAGATCTTTTAGTGGTGGTGTTGAATATTTGTTATTTTAACTAATGATATTATTTTAGAGATGAAAGTTTTGTGCTTGGTTTTTTCCAGAACTCACGACAGGGCTCAGAATGTTTTAAGCCAGGTTTAGAGGATGCTGCTGGAAAAATTCCATTCATGCCTCCAACAAAGAAGTCGAGTCAGCCAGCGCTCGGAGAGTTGCCGCCACCGCCGCCGCCAAGAATGATGCCTCCCCCGCCACCAAAGTTTTCATCCGATCATAACCGTAATTCAATCGCTGCGCCGCCTCCCCCGAACTTTCCATCATCCGATTCACCTGTAGGGTTTCAAAATCAGAATCCGGCAATGAGTCCAGCAGTCACTGAAACTCTTGTTCAGAGCATAGTTTCAGAGAAAGCCAGCTTAGAACCAGCTTCTGGTGATCACATCCTGAAATCAGCTCCTCCTACATGAAACTTATGATTCCTGTAATTACTGATCAGTTCTCTCATTTGTTTCAGATACATTTTTGAAGCTAGTTGAGTATGAAGAAGAAGAGGAAGAGGAAATGGTTGCCGCCGCCGAAGAATCCTTTAGAAGCACTAGCTCAAAACCTTTTTGGGCTGTATAAAATGCTGCCTTTTAAATTTTAGCAGAATCCAGAAGCGGCTCTCAAGTTTTCTGATTGATGATGAGTTTTGAAAAGTCGCTCAGAAATTCTTATGCCATCTGATGAAGCCTCACTGTGGTCCTTAATTTCTGGATTCATGGCGCCCTATGACCTGTGACTCCAAGACCTTGAGACCAGAAGATTAGAATGTTGAATGCCTTATTCAGTACTGTAAACATTTTCCATTTGTGTAGCAAAGTTAAATATAGTGAGAAATTAGGGTTTGTAAGAAAGGCCATTGTCAATGTAGTGAGAAAATAGGGTTTTTAAGAATTGCCATAGTTTAAACTTTTGATATTACTCATTTCTGTCTCTTGTTCTAGTAGACTTTGGTCAGGAATTTCAGAGAGAATATTTTAATGTTCTTACTAAATATTTTACCCTAAGTTTATATGGCATAGATGCTTCAACACTGTGTTGGTTCTCTTATCTTTGTTGGGTGGTTTCTTCCTCTTCAATTTGTCTTGAATGAAGGGTGTAGAAATTATTCTATGTGAAAAATTATTCTGTGCGAATATTAGACACCGTCCAGAGGCTAATCAAAAAACGTCACATCATTTTTTTTCTGTATATCGATATTGTGTACTGCTATTTATTAGATGTCATGAGACGTTATTGACCTCTAGACCGTTCGATGTCTGCACAGAATAATTTCTCCGATACTACATGGCCAAAATTACCAAATCCATTGCCTCCTTTCAGCATGGTTGAAGCAGAAGTCAACTTGCAACGACTAGCATCCTTTAGCACAACTATCATTGCTCCTCGCTCTACCTTCTGCAAGTCTACTGGTTGCTCAATAATTAAATATACCAGCAACCACTTAACCCATCAAATAGCTCCTCCTCTACCACACCATACATCCACCATTCACTTTTTTCCTGTTAAAGGAGACAATCCTAGTGAAACCTCCTTGCTTGCCACCATCTTTGTTTCTTCTTTATTGGGCTTAAAGTCCCTGATAAATGGACCTCGACCTCATCTTTCATTAATGCTGAAGGCTGCTCTCCAAAATGTTGTACCTCAACTTCAAAAGGTAAGAAAAATAGCTCAATCATCAACTATTAATTAATTTCTTTCCTTGCATCAAGACTCGGAATGGAAGGGAGTTGAATGGGATGAATTATTTTGTGCGGGCTCCGAACACCATCCAGAACCTAATGAAAATACACCACATCATCCCCTAATCAGTACCACAGCTCGATACTGTTTGACATTGAGCTCGAAATTGAATGATGTGGCTTCACCTTATTCATCTCTAAATGATAAGCTGTGTCTGGTGTCCGCACATAATAATCTCTCATTAAATGATGACCATATCACAGATTGCAAAAAATTTATCAATGACCATCACATCAATATACCTGACAGACAAGAATGCCCTTTTCATCTGTAACATAAAATTTCTATACATTTACATAAATAATGCCAAAATATTTCTAATAATATCATAAATTTAGAAGAGCACAACAAAACTAACTTCAACTCTTAATGATCTGTTTAATTTATGATTATATGATTGTATTAGATACAATCATATGAATTAGAAACTTCATTTTTAATACTTGGGTATTAATTATGTAAATAAAAAAGCCTTCAATAAGGCTCACATAACACTTCCCAGAAGACATAATTTTAACACATACATTTGCCTCCCTAATTCACTTGCTGGACTATACAGCAAGCAGACATGATGCCTGGTGTAGCTTTAGATTTCAGAACAAATTACTTGTCAATATGAAAAGAAACATGAACGATCCAAAACTGAAGAAAGAAATGCAAATTTTATTTACACCATCAGAATCAAAGCAAATGCTTTAGATTGTTCTCCAGCCATAACACAGTTTAAAAAACTAAAAGAAATGAAGTTTTCCTCTTAATATAAATAGGTAAAGGAACCTGCCAATCATGTAGAGCAACAATCTTTTCCACTGCCGCTTAACAATCTACACGCGCCCATGGAAATATTTCTGATTTAAGAACTTGAAACATTTTCAACAAAAAATATAGAAAAAAAGGGTACATGCAAAGACGACAGTTGTGCCAAACGATCAAGAGCTACAACAGCTGATATCCAACTCATAAACTTAATACAAGTTTTTATTGAGACAGATAAATATGATAATCACCTCTCTCATCTTCCAATTAGTCTGTGCTGATGACCATTATGATCTACTCTTGTTTGCATAGTCATCAGATTCATCAAAATCATCCTTCAAACTTTGATCAAAGTCATCCTGATTGCCATAGTTCAAACCACTGGTTGTGCTTTCTGGGTTGCTGCCATATTGATTGTTGTTATCATAGCTGCTACCTGATCCATCCAGGTTGAAATTGTATTTGTCAGAACCACCGCCCAAGTTGCCAGCAGCACTTGCATAGTTTTGTCCAACACCACTGCCACCATAGTTTTCACTCCCACCAGCACCTCCAGCAACGTAATTGTTGCCACCAGTCCCGCCACCAAAACCACCAGCAGCACCTCCACTGCCATAACTACCGGCTCCACTTCCATAGCTATCTCCACCATAACCGGCAGAAGCACCACCACCATCGCCGCCGCCGCCATACCCTCCGCTACCATAGCCGTCACCGCCATAGCCCCCACCACGGTTTCCATATCCACCAGCATTTCCCCCATAACCACCACCGCGGCCACCGCCATAACCTCCACCACCACCATAACCTCCACCACCGCCATAACCGCCGCTGCCACCATAACCACCACCACCATAACCACCGCCGCCATAACCTCCACCACCAAAGCCTGAAGGACGATCATTTGCATAATTAACTCTAACCAAGCGCCCATGAAGCTCCTGTGCATGATCAACATGAGAAGAAGTAAAATACAGGCTTCATCTTCTGAAGCAAATGTTGTCAATGAACATCAATTATGAAAGTTTAATCATAACAAAATTCAGAAGTAAATTTAAGGAGAAAAAACTGAATAATGACTGGATAAAGAGACTTAATTGCTGCATGATTGTTTGGCTTTTAAAAAAATTAAAAAGATATTGGTTATCCACTATTCGCTTAAATGATGCTTTCCAAAAAAAAAAGTAGAATAAAAGGAAAACAAATTTCCAAATTAAGCATCCATGCCCACTGTTCAATGCAGCGCAAAAAATTTGCTAGAAATAAGTGGTGTATATTGTTCCTATGTGACGTAAAAAATTGCCAAAATAAGCACTTGCGCTTGTTCCAACGCAACGGGGAAAATCGTACTTTTGCTCATGCAGGTGATGAAGACCCTTGCACTTCTTTACGTGTGTTGGGATAGAAAACATCTAGCCCCAGTGTAGTACAACATTGATCATCCCGCTTCTTTATGAGTGGTAGGTGGGCCTAGCACTCCTCGTAGCTTAACCTCATATGCAGGTAAGACGTTGAGAGGTTATTGAAATTCAATCTGAATAAACACAGAGGGAATAGCCCTTCAAGGAGGCTACTTGGTTTGTTGAAAAAAGGTGCAATAAAAGAAATGTAGAATATTTTGAAATTTGGGTGTTTGGTATGATGAATAATGAATATAATATAAATTTTAGAGAATTTCTTTTTTACTTAGTTCATTTTTTATGCATTGTAAACTCGTCCAATTTAGGCTAAATTTTTTTTCACAGTAAGCTAATTGTATGTTACGCCCCAAGATCTAAAGTGAAAGAATTCATTTTCTTTTTTTTTTTCAATCCAAATATTCATTCAATCCTTCAATCTATCTATCAGTTACAGTAACAGTGTCAATAATAGTACTCAATATCAATACTAGAAGTGTATCAATGACAATAATCAATAATAGTATCAGAACAACATCAGTAGCAATATCAGTATCAATGATCAATAGTCAGTAATCAATCCTAATTAGTATTAGAAATCAGGAATTAGTAACCAATCATAAATTCAAATGAGGGTATCTTGCTCCTGCACTTATGACTCCTAATCAGTCGCCCCTTAAACTCCCAATCAGTGTACACCTTATAATCACGTGGATTAGTCACAGTCTCCTTATAACTTTCAATCAGTCTCCAGCTCCTCATGACTCCCATCAATGAATCTTTGAGGTTATCATGTGGGGGTTATTATATCATATATATCTGATATGAATTAGAATATCCTTTCAATCGAATTAGTATCACATTCCACTACATATCAATCATACCAATCATTTCAACACATTATATTTCAGTATTATCATATAAAATCACCATACATCACTTTAAACCCATGTTCAGTATACCTTTTCTTTTCCTGCTCATTTAACTCAAAAATTCCTATACACATTTAATCGATGAAAATGCAATAAAATCATATCATATTGTTCAGAATGATCGAATCTATAACATAAGAAATGTTACACGATGAAATCTTACGAAATTAAGAGATGATGCAGTTTTAGTAGAGTTAGGAGAGAAAATCCATAGAATCAAAATCATCGATGACAGAGATAACAAAATAGTCACTTCCAATGATCATAACACTTTACAATAGAAGCAACGAACAAAAAAGCCCAGAAGAGCTTCCTCTCTCCTCTCCCCTCTTCCTCTCCCCCCTTCTCCCTTTTCTTCCCGAGCAAGCAATGAATTGAGGGAGGTGTGAAGTGATGACAAGTATATTTATATAAAAAAAATACATTAAACATTGTTAGTGGCCTAACATCACAACACTCAGACCCAACGCCATAACAATGCATGTCGAATCCAGAATTACTATTAAATAGAAACCTAAACACCACAGTGGCATTTTCTAGTGCCGTTGTGCTCTCCAGCTTAACGCCGCAATGCTCGAAAGCACAACGCAGAAGTGCTCCAGTTCTAACAGAAATTCAATTTTTTTTACTCTTTCATATTTTTGGGTTATTATATTATGTTATCCCGCTAGTTGCCTGTCGTGGGTTTCCCTGTTGTTGATCGCCGCCTTCACCGTGTGTAGCTGCTACTATTGGTTGCCACTACGACGTGTAGTCGGTCACTCCCTACGATCATTTTACTTTATATTGGATTTATTTTACTTCAACCAAAAAAAAAAAAAATCCGTTACATTCATTTTTACACTTATCCAAACAACTTCAAGCATTTCAAATACACTGCATTCTTTTTCCAACAAACCAAATAATCTCCAAATAACGAAAAAAATGAAGCTAAAATGAAAGAATAAAAAAAAATTGCAAAGTAAAAAATATGAAAAATATTCTTATTAGCCTTTAACACCAACGAATCCACAACATTCAAACAAATGGATAGAAGACATCTTTTAAAATTGTAAAATGGAATTTCACACGTATTTCAGTGATAAACACCTGCTCAAAACAATCAAATATGAATATTTTAAAATCTCACACGCATCAAACTATAATGTTCAAATTTAAGCATGTCACTTCAAGAATCATGCCACTGCCTCATTAAGCATACTGCATGCTCGAAAACATATTATTACCTCAAGAAACATTTAGCAACCCCATGAGGAATACTGATATCTCGAGAAGTGAGTCAATACTTCGAAAAGTATACCACAACAACGAAAAATTACATAGTTACTGAAGAATAAAGTAATCAAATCCAACAATTCACGATGATGTTCCCATTCTGATGGTCCCTAAGAAAAATGGCAAATAGATATTGCATAGACTTTCAATAAAATAATAGTAGAGTATTAATATATATTGTCGCATATTAACGATCTATTGGATAAATAGATGAGGGAGGGATACACATTCAAAGTGGTTGGACACTTCGAATGGAGAAAACAATGCACACTATGTTTACTAACCAAAAAATGCAGCAGGAATTTTGCAACACTACGTTTACTTGCCAAAATCACAACAAGATGTGGGCGAGTATATTAAAAGATGTACACCTTGCAGAACATCCAAACTTGCAAATAAGAAGCTCGGATTTTACACCTTGTGTCAGCTATCTATCGGAGAGCATCTCCATGAATTTTTTATAGAGATTTCTACATTAGGAAGAGAAAGGGCTAATTAGCCAGTACAAGAAAGTGGTACAACAAGAAGCATTTAAAGGCAACCTTTGCTCATATGGAGCTATAACTTCAGAAGAGTGAAACCCTCCTAAAAGAGGGACCCATGAAATGGGGATAATATCTAAAATATGAACAATTAGATTGCCTGTGATAAAGATTGACAATTAGGTTGTGAAAAAGAATTAAGAGATTCTAATCATAGAAATTTTTACATTCTGATCTCTTGGTGGAGATTTCTAGCAATATGAAGATGAATTGTCAATCAGACATCCAATGATTAACATCAGGAAGAAGAGAATTTGGTCCATTGGATGCGATGAGGACAACAAAATAATAATGAATATTAAATTTCAAGCTTATTTTTAGATTAGTTTTTTTTTTTATTTTAAATTCTGGATACGTTAATTTCTGTCATGGAGATGGTTTAGAAAGGAAAAAGTTATTCCTTATTTTATGTAGTTAAGCTTAGAACAAATAAGATTATTCCTCTATCATAGACTACAATGCATAGGCACTCCTATGCATAAGAAGATATGCAGTGTCCGGCATGGACAAGCACCTAACACAATAAAGGCATGTGTCAAACATAGTGAAAGTGTGTTTGATTAAAATAATGTTTAAATAAAATCAAACATGTTCTTTAGTGATGACCAGTAAATATGAAAAACTATCAAGTTCTCAAAACATTTGGTACCCATGAGGGGCACAAATATTACATTGAATTGAAGAACATTATTAAGAGAGTTGCATGGAACATTCAAAAATGCGGCATGGACATGCTCGGCAACAATAAAATTTTAATAAGAAAAAGAGTAGACATATTTATTGATAAACACAAAAGCAATTTTTTGATATGGGGAAAACTAGGATGCCCTAATCATTCATTCCATTACACGAAGCTTTGGGATAGTAATAGAGTTGTTCTGACATATTTGAGATCATTTATTTATGAACAAGATGGGATAAGCTACTTAATATCTTAGCACTCCCAATAATTGCCCCCAATAACAAATGAAGAAGATAATTCCCAAAAGCTTATTATATGAAGAAGAAGATAATTTAGCAACACATTTCAAATATTTGATAAACTTGCTAATATACCCTAGGTTGTGCCAAGTGCATAACTTTTAATGAAAAAGCATTAACTATGAACGAATACAATGAGCAACAAGGCAATCATAAAAAGATTGAGCAAACCTGGAGACACCAAGATTTGTGTGATCTGGCATAAAATAAGTCTATGTCCATTGGAGATGAGTGAGGATACAATTCATTGAATAAAGGTTTTCAAAATTACGCCCCTAACTAGCCCTTTCCAAAACCCAAAGTAAATTCAATCACACCGAAAGAGAGAAAAAAAAAAACAAATCTCTTAAGACAGATATGGAAAAAAGTTAACTCAACAGAGAGTATAAAAAAAGGATTAAATAAATATCATAAATCAACCACTTCAAAAATCTTTAAAATGGTGCTTTTATACTAATCTATTAAGTCAATTCAAGATTTTTAATGCCATAATACCTTTAGTTTGTAGATATGACACTCGCTTTTAATTTTTGCCATTTTCTCCTCTATTTCATTCTCTATCTCTTGGCCCTCTTTAACTTCTCTATTTGAATTCCTCTGTTTTAACTTCTCCAATCAATGGAACTTTAAAACAAGCAAAGAAATATGCCTTGAGCTTTGATTAATTCATGCATGAAATCACTTGCACATGTTAACTCTAACATGATCTGCACACATATTGATAGATATTTGATGGAGGTACTTTTTAAATCTAACTAGGTTGAAATTTTAACTATTAAAAGAAAAACTAATCTTCTCATTGATTCAATAGTGTGACAAAAACCTAGATCCCCTTGGTGACTACTCCATTCCAAGTGGAATACTTTATTCTCACAAAGCCAAACAGAGATGAACACAGCCCAATGTCATAAAGCCCAAGCAATGTTTGTGTAGAACTCCCACAAGAAACCACTGAAGTACATATGTTGCACACCAAGATGGATCCACTAAAATTGAGATGACACCTGCCATTTAATATATATACCTCTAAAGTGGATGTATCTTTGCATTAAATGCTATGATGGTACAACCTACCACTGAGGCATATTGCAAAATTAGATTGATTTGTCATATCACCATCAAATATCTTCCCATCAACCTGCGCCTTACTGTGCTTTGAAAAATTCTTGCAGAAGAAGCTAATTTTTTCTGCTTCCTTAAATCATGGTGTTCCACCAATGCTGATGAAACCAAAGTAATACCCTTCAAAGTCGCACATCACAATATATAAAGCCCATTAATTCTTTCTTCCTTCATGACAGTCATAGCACCATGATAAACATTAAGGACTTCAACTTCTCCAAAGAATATGCATCATGAAAAATAATCAAAGATCACCTAAACGTCATTAAGAATGCTCAAATACAGTAGATTATTCCTAAGATTCAGTATAAACTTAACTCTGGGCAATAACATCAATTCCATAACCGTCTTGCACAACACAATTGTCCCTATAGACACACCCACCAAAAGATGGCTCATAAATAAAAAATAGCTCCTTATCAGAACACTTATAATATGAATAAATTGAATCTTGAATCCACTGCTCTTTGCATTTGTTTCAATTTGTTACTCCAAAAGCATCACATGTATCAGACCTAGACCAATATACGAAATGAAACTAGCTTTGGATGCCTAAAGGGCTAAAAGATAAAGATCAAAATTAACAGTACCTTCCCATCCATGGCAGTTATTGCAGCAGAGGCTTCTTCACCCGACGTAAAAGTTATAAAACCAAAACCCCTCGACCTCCCAGTTTCCCGATCAAGGATAACCCTAGCTGAAAAAGGTTGTCAGTTTGATGGATAATCAAATCCCTTCAAAACCTCAATGAAAAAAAAACATTAAAAAAAAATAAGAATAAAAAAACATACCCTCAATAACTTCACCATAGCCAGAAAACGCTTCTCTTAGAGTTTGATCATCTGTGCCATATGATAGCCCTATAATATTGTATAAACATATCAAATGCAGTAAGAAACAAAAAATCAAAATTTGAATGAACAAATAAGTAATAGAGGTGGAAGATCATACCTCCAACAAAGACTTTTGATGATGACATGCATCTCACTGCCTGGTAGATTGAAGGTTTAGATGACACTGCATGCTTGAAGAGACTCCCAATTTTGGCAAAAGCCATTACTCAAAACTTCTAACAGAAGAGATGGATTAGAACATGGCAGTGAATAATATAGCAAAATCTTGCATACAGATAAAGCATGAAACTTTAGGAAATTATGCTACAGCATGAGCCTGAGGCCCGTGAATCATAAAAAAACTGGTCATAATCTAGGATGAAGCCTCAAATTTCATTAATTCGTCTATCAGATTAATCGCATAAACTGGTCATAATCTAGCAATTAACCACATATAAAGCGTTTGAGGATTCGTAACAGACAAAAAAATTAATCAAATCCATAACGCGGATAAGATCAACCATAATAATCCCCTATCGAAACCAAAGGAAAGGTAACAAGCCAATCAATTTATGCATCAATCCCCCAGACTATAAGAGCTCAACTCGACCATAGATGAGAAACCCAACTAAAAACATATTACAAAGAAGTAAAAAATACAATAGCCCCGACATCCAGATTGCAATCGACAGCTAGCATCCAACAGAATTAATCATCGAATAAACAAATGCATCTAAAACCCTAGAAAATGAAAAACTGATAACGAAAGGGAGAAGAGAGAAGATACCGATCAAGATTAGGGTTTTGGATTTCCTTTCTTTACCTGTCAATCGCCTCTCCTCTCAGCCAAAAACCCTACCGCTGGTTGAGCCCGGGGTTTTATGCATTTGACAGCTTTCAATTTACCTAAGAATTTATCCTCGCCGTTGGTGCAAGCTTAATGTTCCAATATTCGCATTAAGGGATAAATCTGAACCGTTGATTTTAAGAGAAAAAATTTTTAAGGCAATTTTGTGTCACGTGTTCCGCAAGAACCTGATGATAGTAGAAATGTAAGGTCCGAGCCATCCGTCTGAATTGTCAAGTTGCAACCTGTTGGAACCGAATAAGGGTGATTAATTTATATTATAGAATGCGTTCCTACATACTAAATTTAATTTTCCCAAAAAAAAAAAACATACTAAATTTATAAATTATATTTTAGAAACAAAAAACTTTAATTCACTTTTGGAAATAATATCGATATTTTTTTATTGAAAAGTAGGCTTTTTATCTATTTTGACAAGAAAATATATTCAAAATTTTATTTCAAATCAAAATACCGCTCATTATTAAATGCAGATTATTTATTCGTAGTATATCTCAAACAACATAGGTCTAATTAATGTTACATTTGGGACGATTTTTCTTATTATTTCTTAAAGTAACTTTTTAGTACAAGTACTTTAATTTTTCACTAAAAATTTATTTTAAGAAACAGTAAGAAAGCCAAGACAAACAAATTCTAAGATTGAATCATACAACAATAATAACAACATCAAGCATTTATCCCACTATATTGGGTCGGTTACGTGAGACTTTTTTTTCATTATGACTTATTAAGAGTCAAATTCTCATTGAAACCTAATAAAAAAGGTCATTTCTAATATTTTCTAACCCAGTCTTTTTAGGTCTACATATACTTTTTTTAACATAAGTCAAATCTAATACATCAACTTTCTTAATCAGGTCATCATAAGGTTGTTGTTTTTTGTGACCAACCATCTAAGGCGACTCTCTCTAATATTATATTTCACTAAAGTTACATCAACCTTTTCACGTATATGCTCATTTCGTGTCATGTCTCTAAGAGTAAAGCCACTCATCCACCTGAGCATCCTCATATATGCAATAGTTAACTTTATATTATGCTTCTCTTTTAATGACCAACATTCTGCACCATAAAGCACTGCATGTCTCACCACCATCTTATAGAATTTTCCCTTAAATTTAAGAGGCACTTTTCTATTACACAATAAGCTCGATGCATTCCTCCACTTCAACCATCCAACTTGAATTTTACTAATAATATCCCCATCTATTTCTTCATCACTGAACAATAGACCAATGACATCTAAAACATGTACTCTTATTAATGATCGCCCAAAGTCAAAATCCCCCCACTATATCTATTATAACTAAAATTACACGCCATATATTCAGTTTAAATCTACTCAAAAGAAAGTCTTTAGACTCTATGGTTGGCCTCCATAATTCAAGTTTACCTTCAACTCCTCTCTAGTCTTATCAACAAGAAGAATATTATTAGCAAAAAAATAAACTAAGATACAACCTCTTGCAAATGTCTAGTGAGAACATCCATGACAAAAGCAAAAAGATATGGGCTTATGGCCAATCCTTTATGTAATCCAAGTGAAATAGGAAAATACTTTGTCAAACCAACTTGTGTTTGAACACAAGTAATAGCTCTTACAATCATATCCTTAACGACTTGAATATAAGAATTATTAACCCTTTTCTTTTCTAGAACTCTCCATATCGCTTCTCTTGAAACTTTATAACATGCTTTCTCTAAATCAATAAATATCATATATAGATCAGCCTTATTCTCTCTATACTTCTCCATCAAAACTCTCAATAAATATAAAATTTTTGTAGTTGACCTACCAGACATGAATTCAAATTGATTTTGAGAAACATTAGTATCACATCGCAACCTACGCTCCATAACTCTCTCCCATAGTTTTAAAGTATGACGTCATAACTTAATTCTTCTATAATTCACACAATTTTGTGCATCAACTTTATTTTTAAAAATATGAATCAATACACTCATTCTCCACTCATATAGCATATTTTTCGTCTTCAAAATAAATTAAAAAGTTTAGTAAGCCAAGAGATTCCTTCATCTCCTAAATATTTCCATACCTCTATTGGAATATCATCATGTATAACAACCTTTCCACACTTCATTTTATTTAAATATTCTCGAACATCGGTTTTACTAATACGTCAATAAAAATTAAAATATTTATTTTCATTTAGGGTTCTAAAGTCACCAAAGTCATTCACATTCTCACGATCTTCATTGAAGAGTTTAGCAAAATATCTCATCTACCTTTGTTGAATATCCTCTTCTAGTAAAAATACTTATTAATCTTTATCCTTAATACACTTCACTTGAACTAAAGTCTTACTATTCATATTTCTTTGTTTGACTAACTTATGCATATATCTTTGGCCCTACTTAGTATTTAATATATTACATAAATCATTAAAGCTAAAATCTTTGCCTTGGATATTGCTTTCTTAGACTCCTTACAGACCTCTTTATATCTTTCTCAATTATCAAAATTTTTACATTTAAATCAATTTTTATAACAAAATTTTTATTTATTTTTTTGTACATTTTGATTCCACCACAATCTATTTTTTACTATTATAAGTTTTTCATTTGACACTCCAAGTACATCTTTTGCAATATTCTTAATATCACTAACTACTTTTTTTCATATAACATTATATTCATTATGCAAAGATAAAATCTTAAGGTAAAAAATCTTACTCTGAAAAATATTTTTATTAATATTCTTTAAATGTCACATCTAATCCTATAACAATTTTTCACTTTTTTTTAATTTTATGTCCTTTCGACTTAAAGTTAAAAACTAATAAGCAATATTGGATACATAAACTTTCACTAAGAATCTTTTTAATCTTTGTAATCTAAATGATATATATATTTTTTTAAGAAAACAATCACTTTGAGTTTTACTTTATGTATTCTTACAATTAAAGAGATGCTCAACTCTTTTCTTAAAATAAAAAATTAGCAATTAATTACAAAATCATAAGCTAAAATTTTTTTAATATAGTCTTACCACCTTCATTAGTCGCTCCAAACTCATAACTACCATGAACTCTTTTAAAATCGTCTATTTTTCAACCAACATGTCCATTTAAATATCCTTTAATAAAAACTCTTTCTTCAAGATTTATCGTTTGTTTTAATTATTCTAAGTCATTCCAAACTTTTAATTTTGAACACATAACCAGACATACTTGAGGAACATAAGCACCTATAATATTATTAGCAATAACAATAATTTTTAAAGCTATAATTCTATATCTAATTTTTACAATATATCCTTCAAACTCTTATCTATAATCACACACATATATCATTTTTAGTACATCTTCTACTAGAATACCATAGTTTAAATTCTAAAATATCAATCTCCTTAGTCTTCTCTTTAACCCATTTAGTTTCCTAAATGCATAGAATATTAATTTTTTATGAATTATAATATATATTAGTTTTATTAATTTGTATGTAAGGGAATCTATATTCCAAGTTCCAATCCTAATTTTTATTTCATGGCCTAGCTTTTTTGCCCCACATCCATCCATGATGTGAGAATCCTTGCCTATTTAATATTGTACTCGGGCACCGGTGCAGCAACCCTTATACATTTGTTATTGTATTCAGACCATACAGCGCGTCGCTTCTAGGAAACACCCTAGCATTAACACAATATATTAAAAGATTTATGTCATGATTATTTGATAAGTTTTATACTGGTTGTCGACTATCTAACATAACTCTTTACTTTTCTCATTCATGACTTTTGACCCGGCAATGATAGTGCTAAAGATTAAGTCATATTTGAGAAAAAATTTAAATCTTGTTTGAAGTATATTTGAATCTTATTGAAATTATATTCAAATCATAAACATAATACAATCACAATAACTATAACATAAAAGAATTATATGACAGATACAACATAGTATAAATTTACAACTATTATATATTACAATGACAATCATTATATTATTAGGCACTTGACCTTCTAAGTAGCCCAAATGTTGCACCACATCATTCTCTCTCCTTAAAATTCTCCTAATTTTCTTTTAACAACTACTCTTTTACTTCATTAATTAAGGTAACATGATAATTCTATTTATTTCCTAGTTAATGCATGTTTGCACAGGAGACCCATAACATTCAATTTTTTACATATATATACCATCCCACTGCACATCAACATCACAATTAAGATCATTGTCAAGGACATGCAAACTAAATCGGCTATGATATTAATTTCATGATTACTGATGAATTTGCATATATAGATTCTATACAATATAACTACATACAACCAAACAAATCTTTTCTAAAACGCATTTAAATTATCCTAATTTTTTTTAAAATACATGTATTTTAAGAATATCTAACTAAATAGTTCCTTAATATATTTGAAATGAAAAAAGAAAAAAAAATAACTCTTGTCAAATGTTTAGAAAGAAAATAAATAATGCAGTAAAATATTTTTATTTTATTTTACTAAATTTTATTTTAAAAAACAATAAAAGATTAATTCTACATGTAAATATTTTATTTTACATAAAAATTTCACTTAACAAGATGACCCATAAGAGTTTATCATGCAAAATTTAAAATAAATTTTGTTGTTCCAATAGTCAAAAATATAAGGCTCTTCAAAGGTCAAATACATTCATGAGGGTTGAAAGTGCAAAAAGGTGCAAATGGAAAAATGTCTCAAAATCTGAGGCCACCAGAATAGCTTTAAATTGATATTTTTACTAATTATTGGGATCACAAAAAATTCAATCTAAATTAGCTCATTGCACACAAAATGAGTTGAACTTACTCTAAGGCTTCTTTTGGAACAATTTTTTTTTTTGCTGTTTTGCAAAGCTGTTTTATAGTTCAAAAGTTTATTTAATGAAAAATGTTCGTACTAAAAAATTGCTTTAGGTTTCATTTGGGTCGGCTTTCTTACTGCTTCTTAAAGTAGCTTTTTAGTAAAAAAAATTAAAATGACTTAGTGAACGAAGCCTTAGTAAGCATTAAGAAAGTTGCCGCTAACGAAGCCTAAGTTTCTACCTCAAAAATCATTTCTTCAAATGTCAAAATTTTAGGATCATTATAAATATTATTTTATTGACTTCTTTTTTGCTATTTTCAAGTTAAGCTTTCTTTGTCTTGAGGAGAATTGATCCAATCATCATTGTATTTACGAGGATTGTAGTTAGACGACCACCATCACCCCATTATGATACGTCTTATGAATACCATTACCTAACTATAGTCTTATGATAACCTTCCCTCGATTATTATCCTCCAACAATCGCCGTTTGATTACAATCCTCTAATTATTCATCATTTGATTATAATCCAATGACAACTATTGCTTGACTATGATATTTTGCTCACCATTGCCCTATTTCGATTATCTGACAATCGTCATTAGACTATGAACATCTAAGTCACTTGACGATGATCCTCCGATCACCACCATTCGACTACAATTCTATGAACATTGCCGCCTAGCTAAACCTAAGCTAGTTGACTTTGTCACCACTATTGTCAACACACACCTAACCCATAAAGCTGATAAATATCATTAATGCCAACTTTAACTCCCATTGTAAGCACAAGGATTTATGATGGACTTATTGGTATGTGATCTTCCCTCAATAAAGAATGATAAAACAAACAACAAACAATCTTTTGAAGATAACTCTCTTGACACTCAACTCTTTCAACTTCCATCACAATATACATTTATATATTTTATATGTCTACCAAATTTTATCAAATATTTTTCTCAATCAAGAGAAAGTGCATCTTTTATAACAAATAATAAAAACATGTGAATAATTTCAACTGAGTTAGAACAACACGAATTTTTTTGTTTTTTACGAGAAAATTATGATGTCTCCTGCAATCATCTTTTATTCATATATGTGCCCAATTTATGTACAAATGCTAAGATATTATACATTTTTTCTTTATCGTCGGGAATATTTTAACACATAATAAAAATAAAAATAAGAAAAAAAATCATGTAATTAAAAAAAAAAATCAAAGATATTACCTAGTTTAATTTAACTCTTCTACATCCACAATTGCACAAACTCTATAATTTCTCTTAAGAGTTTAGTTCAACAGATGATAGCCGTTAAAATAGAACAGGCTAACCATAAACATTTAAATAATACCATATTTATCTATAAAACATTCCATAACACATACCCCTAAAACGTTTCAAGACTGAATCCATGAAAGCAAGGAAGAAGATGAAATGAAGAATCATTCATAACCAAACAATATATTAGTACAGTATTTTGAATGACTGAGTCGTATTGCATCAAAATAGCTCTAGATTTAAGATCAGTACAACATACAGACATGAACAGACATGAACAGACATGAACAAATTGGTGGCTCATCCAACATTCAATTAGATTATACAAAAGATAAAACAAACCATGGTTATTCTACTTCTGCTTCTCCTTCCTGATCTCCCTCGGGACTCACCTTCTACGCGGATGCATCACCTTAGGTGTCCCCTCAAAGAGATCCAACAAGGCTGACTCCAAATCCTCCGGACAATACTTGATGTAATGTTCTCGATTCCTTACTCCATCAAGATGGCTAGCATACCTTCCAATGAAGGTCCTGTAAGCTTGTAGCACCTTGAGTGAGATTGAAATCCTCAAATCTTCTCTAAGACCAACATTTGGGACAGACCAAACCATCTGAGTCCTGTATACTTCTTCAAATGCCTGGTTAAAGTTCTTGAATCTGTCCTTAAGAACAGTCTTTGAAGGAGTGCTGGAACCATGGTTATGGATGCCTTCATCCTTCAAGAAAAGGAGAACTGGATTCCATGAAGCTCGCTCGTAGTTCATAGCATGCTGCGTGAACTTTCTAATGTGCAATCGGATCCAGTCATCTCCAAGAATGGGCTGGAGATCAGAATCCTTTACCTTCTGAACCATGTAACAGATGTTGTTCATCAAAAATAAGCATTGCAGTGCAGTGTCGACATACAACATCGATCTGTCATTGAGGTTTGATTCCAAGATTGAGGTCACAGATTGTAGATTACTAGCCACAGGAGTTAAACCATTACCCTCTTCCTGCAAGGAGTAGTTTTGTTCATCAAAGAGCACATTCATTGTTACACGGTAATCTGCAAGTGCTTTGATGTAGTTCATGACATACTTTGTGAGAGGATGAACTCCACCTCCTGCAAAACCTGTTGTTGATGTGTTTCTTAGAATCGCATTCTTGAATGCGGAGAAGGTTCCTCTCACATATTCACCCAGCCTTGACAAAATATCATTGCATTCATTTACAATGAAAGAGCCTGACTCATTTGGAAAGAGTGATTCGATGTCAGTGAGAAGATCTGCTAATACCTCATACATGTCAAGTATCCTGAAGAGCTTCTCTGGCTTTAGTGGTCCAACTGCTATTGCTTCTCCTAAATTGAGGAATTGCATGATAGAGCTCTTTGAGATTTCAACAAAGCAGGACTGTCTTAGTGATACTGAAAGTTCTCCAAATATGAGGTCACATAGACGATTCTCGCTCGAAAGATAAACGCGTACAAAAACTTTCAGAGCTCGATTCCACCTCTTGATCATGGAATTCAGTGATGACCATTCCAACTGCAGGACTTCTTCAATGCTCAATTTTTCAATGCGAAGAACAGAAAGACACTCATCAAGTGCATCCATTCTGACACTAATGTAGGCTTGGCAGCACTCCCTGTCATACTTGGCCGAAAACATCGTTTCAGCTATGCATCTGAGGTCACATACAACATCAGGATGGATCAGATCGACTAGAAAATCCTCCGATCTTCGGCCACTATCATGGTGGCTTTTACCCTGAATTGCTTCTTCTTCAAATGAACTAGATGAGAAGTCCTCTGACAATTCCTCTTCCATGGACCGAAACGACATGTGATCTGGCTCCAAAGGCTGCCTATACTGTCTCAGAAGGTGCACAAACTCCTCCTCAAGCCTAGCCATGGCCATCTGAAGAGTGCTATCAGCATAGCATAAAAGCTTATTGTACACAGGTGAGGTTGTTAACTTGTCAACAAGTTGCTGAACTTCATTGACAACTTGCAAAAACTCAGAAGTTTCATCAGGGTCTCGGTCCCATATCATGGATTGATCGGAATTCCAGTTAACAATTTTTTCATGCAATATGCCGAGCCGCGCTTCACTTTCAGACATTTCTCCTTCTTCTGCAAATGCAATAAGATCATTCATAATCAGAAATATAGCATCAACAAGGTCAAGGTGTATATTTTGTTGAAGGAATTGAAGACTACTTTTACCTGTTAAAAGCTTCTGCTTGCTAACTTCAACACCTACAACAGATGCACAATCTGCCATGGTTCTTTGGGTACACTTGATGAGACAGAAATAGAGATTAAATCTGAGATATCTTGTTCGGAAAACTCTTTATATTGTCTGTATCTTCTTCTTGCATGATCTACTGTGCATCAGCATGTTTCACTGATGCATACAAGCCTCAATGACTCCTCTTTGAACTATCTAAAATCTGTCAAAACCATTTGAGTTAAATGGAAAAAAAATAAGACGATTCGTCTATAAAAGTTTCACAAGAGAATCACAAAAAATAGAAACAAGCAAGACTTATTCAAAGAACAAGATGTGGTTGGTTGCACTTTATACAAAATTTAATAAAACCTACTAGGTTCTTAATAGAGAAGTCCCTCAAGGAATAGATAAAAAAAGCTTCCAAATGAGTTGTTTCAGATTGCAGAGAGCAAAAGAAGAACGCTCAACTCCATATAATCATAGCCTATAAATGAATCTAATAACCAAAAATAGCCATGCTTGAAAATCACTGGCAAGTCAAAGATACAACAAAACAACAATAGCTCGAACAATAAAGAAACCCTAATTTTAGTCTAGCACTGAAGCAGAAAGGAACCTCGAGTAAAAATTAGTGGGCCAAGGGAATTTCGCCGTATCCTTGAATCAATTGAACAAAGAACAGTTGGAAAACCCTCAAAATCCAAACTTGAAGCTCTTGGAAACACAAGGCAAGGATCAGAAAAAAAAAAAAAAACGATTTTGAGAAGAGAAATCAGCCAAGTGATCTTAGCAAAGGGAAAACCAGTCATCCCCTAATACAAAAATAAAAAACAAAAACCCACATCAGCACAAGAAAGCTTTGGAAGGAAGCTTCGAGGAATACAGAAGGAAGCTCAGATCTCGGTCCAAGAAAACGACGGAAGCTGCTGAAATCAAGATGGAAGAAGGAGACAGCTTTGTACTCCCCTACGCTACAAATCAAATTCAATATTGTTTTGGGTCGAAAACAACTTTAAAAAAGACGGTCACCTGAAGCTTCGTAGCTTGCTCTAATGGCGATTTGGCTTCATCTCTCTCTCTCTCCCTGTCTCTCTTCGATAAGCTCCGAATAAGCTAGGAGCTGAGCTGACTAGTTTAGCTTCTGCGCATCTTCTTATGACTGAGATGTAAAATGTTGGAAAAGCCAAACTTTTTCTAAAATTACGAATTTGGTCTTTGGCTCCGCGGCGATTAATTGGACAGCTGGATGGTTGTTGAGTGTTTGAGTTCGCCATTCATTTGGACTGATTCTACCGTCTGATCTAAATCGTACGGTTGAAAAAAAATATTAATTGAGGGAGATCAAATGAGCGAAGCCTTGCGTTGACATTGTAAATTGACTTTCTTCCGTCAAAATTTTAAGATCAAATTTAATTTACATTAAATTTTTACTTTCAATAAAAATATACCAAAATAATATTTTACTCCATTCGAGTAAAATTTCTAATTATTATTTTTCATTTTTAAAATTTTTGAGTCAATTAAAATAAACTCACATAAATTTGTTAGTTTATTAAATATTTTTTTAAAGATTGACATATCACAAATAATTGGATTATAAAGTTTATTTATAATATATATACATAATATTTTTATATATTTGAAATTAAAGTTAATATATTTATGATATTATATATAAATATTAATTTAGCAAAAATTCTATGTAAAATATAATAAATTTTTTTACAGAATAATATTGAAAATGAAAATTTTCAAGTCGAGAAAAAAACATAAGAAAATTATGAGAGAAAGGGAAATGTGGGTTCACCTTTATATCAAAGAAAATTAAGAGGAAAGTACTTATTTAATCTCTGACGTTTGAAGTGGGAAATGGAATTATGAAATTCTCTATGTTTGTCTTTGGTTGGTTGATGATTGTCATTGAAAGCTAGTGATGTATATGATTTCACTCTGAATCCTAATCCTTAAAGGATATAAGATACAATATTATTAGCTTCAAGGGTGTCTCATTTGGCGTTTTGGTTCTTTGGTTGGTTGGGTACTGTTCGAGGCTGCTCAGTTTCAAGAGTCTTATATTTTTTGCCTTCTTGGTTTGTTCGAATGGCAATCTCTGTTGGATGGTGGTTGCAGTGAATGTCTTGTGGACTCTTCTCGTATGTCTATTAGAGAGGGAGGCTGAACATACAGCGGAGCCACAATATCCTTGTCGCATAACTTGATTGTCATGCGAGGGATGAAACACTTGCCATCGATTGTCGGATTCGGAGAATTGAATCAAGTCACATGGTATTATTGAAATTATTGACTGCCAGCATAAAAGTTGAAGAATGTTCAATCAAGATTCAAAGATGTTTCAATCAAAGATCTAAGAAATTTCAATCAATGCAGCAACATTTTTATATAATTCTTTGTAAAGTTGGTCAAGTTTCAATCATTTAGTTGTATGAACATTTTTTATCTACTGTGTTATATCTGCTTGATTGTTTTTTACATGTTAATCTTAAACATTATAACTACATTAATTATTTCTTTGTTATATTTGTCTTATAATCGATTGTGTTACAACTATAATTATATTCTTTTATACCATATTTTATTGTTTAGCAAGTTCAATTTTGTTCATATATTGAACTATACTTTTGAGCCTATTTTTTTCAAAAAAATTTGAATAAGAAATTTTTATTCTAGAAAATTATTTCATAAAATAGTAAAAAGCTGTTCTAAACAAAGCTTAAGTTCTAGCATAAAAGCATAATTTTTTGATAAAATTTTTTTATGAATACTCTCAATGTTCAATATTTGTATGCCCTTCATTTATTTATATATTTTTTTCTATTGATATAAATATCACATGAAGATTGTGAGCTTTTAGAGAAATATTATTAAAAAAAAATCCTAATTAAAACTCCATCTTTATCCCTTATCTATTGGCAACAATTTATTTTCTTTATATTAAAGATAGCTTTAAGTTAGTTGTGAGAAAATTAAATAAGTATTTTAATTAAAGATTTTATATGCTCCAAAGTATTGCAATGTAACTATATATGAAAGCATGACATTGACAGCTTAATTTATATTTAAAAATGAATTATTTCAATCCCCACTAAATAATAAGATAATTAACTCCATTATTTACGAGTGCCATTCCAGTGATTCATACTCATCCAAAAAGTTTATTTTGTGCTCTTTCATAATGATTCTAGAGAAATTATTATGTGCAGAGTGCTGTATAAGAGCTACGTCCAGACTCCAATGAAGTTAATAATATTTTAATAAACTACACAAAATTTATCTTTCAGAATTATCCATCTTTTATTTATCATTTTCTATTAACATTTTGTACTAAATCATATTAATAGCGAGCAAACAATCACAATACAAATATATATTTAAAATTACTCTTGAATTTCAAGAATTTAACTTATTGGTTATAATTTAGACTTGGGCTTCATTTAGGATAGTTTTCTTACCGCTTTTTAAAACAACTTTTTAGTATTTAATTTCTTAAAAACAATAAAAAAAAAGCACGACAAAAAATTATCTCGATCGAAATCTTTGTGATCTTATTGGCCATGCAACTAACATACAAAAAATGGTATAAGCTTATCATGAAATTTGACCAAGTTTTCAAATTTTAAAAGGAATTGTTCTTAATTTTCTTGGCCAATGTTGAAGTGTAAGTTACAATCCAAATTTCTATATTGAAAAATGAGCATTGGAAGAGGAAAACTTTGGTTGAAAATAATACAAGAAATGAGAATAATAATATTTTAATATAATGTTGACAATTTGCAGAATTCAATGGAGAAATGTGGTCAACATTTAACAACCGTACTTGTACGTAATTGTGTGAAATGGATGATTTGAATTTCCTAGAATAATGAAATTGCCAAGGAAGATGGAGACTTTATTGTAAATTTTTTTTTTATAAAAAATAAGAAATAAAAAAATAAATTATAGAAAAAACTAGATCTTTCAAGTAATTGTCAAACATTTATATTTGAAAATTTTGCGACCCTTATTGTCAAACATTTATATTTGAAAATTTTGCGACGTTTTTTGAAGTATCAAATGATCTCCAATTTTTTTTATGTTTATAGTTAAATTGAGCATCTCAACGAGATATACCTAAATGAAGATGAACGGTGTATGATCAAATGTTTCAATAGGGATTGTTTGAATGTGTGTTATAGAATTTTAGCCATATTTATCAAAATACAACTCTAAAATACTATAAACAAATACTTCTCCATATGAAAGAGCTCTGAATTTGAGTTTAGTGTAAGCTTGAGATTTAAGGAACTGTAGAGTTCTACCTAACGTTTGACATCGATAATCACTACTAGTCGATGTTGTTGTTCGACTGTCAATATCCAACTACTATTGTTCAACTATCACCATCTGACTGTTATAATACAATATTCACCATTCCACTATCGTTGCCTGACTAAAATTTTCTAAACGTTGTCATCGCCCCTCTATCTCTTGTCTAGCAAATTCTATTATTAATGCAAGAGACTAAAGTTGAGTTATTATCTTATAATTTCGTCTTCAGCATTGAGGGGAAGAGTGAAACTCTAGAATTTTACTTATATAGTGGATCTTTATATCTAGTATAGCGCCGTGATTTTTGGCCTTTTCGAGTTTTTCATTTAAAAAGTTTTCGGTGTTTTTGTTTTATCAGTGTATGAGTTGAATCTTAGTACAAAATTAAGATGTACCTTTGTCATAAATTGTGAGCACATAACAACTTTTATGATACATTTTATCAAATACATGTCAAAAAACTTTTAACATAATATATTTAATGAACAAGTATTCTCTACTGCTAAAGCTTACTATAATAAGCCAGAAGCTTTGGATTACAAATCCAATTAATACATCTTTTCTCTCTTAAAATCATAACTAAGAACCACATTTCTATTGCAATTAGAAAATAAGTAAAAACAGACTAATCTGGTGTACTTAATGGTAATGGGAAGCTATTCTCTTAGGTAGTTGTAACAAATTAGCTAAGCAAGCAAAACAAGTTGATTAACTAGTGAACTAACTATAACTAATTAAATTAATAATGAGAATAAAGATAGAAATGAGATGATGATGTAGTTTGGCTGCATCAATTCCTTTTTGCTATATCATTTGTACATTGAGCTAAGGAGAATGGCCAGGCTTTAACTTGGACTAACGCTTCATTCGGGACAATTTTCTTACTGTTTTTTGAAGTAATTATTTTAGTACATTTTTTTTGAATACTACATTTTTAATCTAGAAAACTGTTTCATAAAGCAATAAGAAAGGTGTTCTAAACAAAGCTTAATGCTTCGTTTGGGACGACATTCTTACTGTTTTTTAAAGCAATTTTTTTTGTACAAACATAAAATCTTTGTGCTTGAAAGCTGTTTTAAGAAGAAATAAGAAAGCCGTCCAAAACGAAGTCTAAGTTCTAGCATGAAAGCATATTTTTTTTTGATAAAAATTTCTTATGAATACTCTCAATGTTCAATATTAGTCATCCCTGCATTTATTTATATTTTTTCCTATAATTGGTATAAAATATCACATGAAGATTGTGAGCTATCACAGAAATATTATTTAAAAAAAATCCTAATTAAAACTTCATCTTTATCCCTTAGCTGTTGGCAACACTTTATTTCCTTTATTATTAAAGATATATAGCTTTAAGTTAGTTGTGAGAAAAAAAAAATGCATACTTATTAATTAAATAAATATTTTAATAAAAAGTTTTACATGCTCCATAGTATTGCAATGTAACTATGAAAGCATGACATTGAAAGCTTAATTTATATTTAAAAATGAATTATTTTAATCCCCACTAAATAATAAGATAATTAACTCCATTATTTATGAGTGCCATTCCAGTGATTCATACTCATCCAAAAAGTTTATTTTGTGCTCTTTCATAATGATTCTAATGACATCGAAAATATCCCTTCATATAAGAGCAAATAAGAGAGAGAAAAAACCTCCTCCCC